TGGAACGCAGGGAATTCTATACATCTGTCTGAGGTATAGCGGATAGGTGTTGTTTCGTCCAGTTCCTGTGAATGTGGAGAGATGAGGGCCGTTGATGCCTGGTTGTGTTCATGTGGGATTGAGAGGTGACTTATACAACAGACTAGTACAGGTGTGGGAGGATGATTAGCGGGGTCACACACCTGGTTATGTGTGAGTTTGGGCCAGAGTGAGGGGTACCGCCAACACGTGACTATGCAGACAAGCAAAAAGTGGTGGCGGCTGGCCGCGTGGGCTGCGGCAGCTACAGGTGTGGCAGCTGCAGGCGCGGCTGGTGTAGGTGCGGCACTTACCGGTTTTTTCAACGTAGATATACATTTTAATCACTATCAACTTAACCTAACTTAGCCAAAACTAACCAAACCAAACCTACCTAGCCAATATAAGCTAATTTAACCTAACAGAAACCAACCTATTTAGCTTATATAACCAAACCTAACCGAACCTGGCCAATCTAGCCTAACAATGAAGTGGCTTCGTCTCGTGTGGTTGTGGAAAGTGTGTAGTAGAGAGTTGGGTGGTGGAGAGACAGGTATGTGTAGTGGTTGTGGTGAAGGTGTGTGTAACTGTGTATGTATGCGGGGTGGAGGGTATGGTAGCGGTGGAGGGTATGGTAGCGGTTGAGGGTATGGGAGGTGGAGGTGATGACGTGTATATTAAGGTGGGGAAATACTGTACTACCGGATGTTAACGTGGTGTGTCGTCACCTGATGACGTCATACTGTACACTTTGCAGCCATTAGTTTTCCTACTCACTGCTGTTTACACTTGAGGCTGTTCACTCTGATACAACTCTAGTACAGCTCGTGTAAAATGAATCTTTAGTTTCGAAACATGGGAGTTTCGAGCTCAAGCAAGATGTGAAATACTACAGGGTAATTCATTCACAGTGACCCTGTACTGTATGTCTAATTCAAGGGCAATTGTTGGGACTGTACGCAGATCGTCTTCGGTAACCCTAACCTAACCATACCTAAGGGCAATACTCTCCATGTTGAGGTAAATTATTCATACAATGTTCTTCACTTGAGTATCTACCTGATTTATTAAAGGATTATATAGATGTCAGTATGAATTTACATAACGAAATATTTGATAAGTGATGAGTGGGTTTTTTATGACCGCCTGAGTATTGCGTGTCATTTGATGGATTCTCGTGTGTGTGTGTGTGTGTGTAAGAGAGAGATGTGGCAGGTGCGGAAGGGGAGCTTGGGGCCAGCTGGCGTAAGTTTAGTCGGGCCGTGAACGTGATACCTGGCCTGACCTGTTTGGTGGTCCCAACACCTGCTGCACCTCCTTCCCTTCCCTCCCTCTTCCCCCCTTCTATATTTTCATTACCTAAGTTAGTTTACCCTGCGCGCTGCCACCTCGGAGCCCTGTCTCTTACTCCACCACACAGGTCCTCCGTCATTTAGTTTACCTGTGTTTGTCACTCTCCTCTCTACTTATGTGATAAACTTACTATTTTCCTCATCCTATCCGTCTACTTCCACTTTCGTCCTCTTATTCATATTACTACTACTACCGTGTTTCTTCTTACTATTCATTCATTTATATTAAAAAAAATTATCAAATTTTCCTCTTGATCCTTTTCCTCTAGTTTTCCTACCCCCCTTTTTTTTATTTATCGTAAACAGTGAGCATCAGGCAGGGCAGGGAAGATAACAACAAACAATTGAACTATTTTCACTGTTCCCTGTGGCGCCTCACCTATACACCTCCCAGGGGCGCCTTGTTAGTTATACTATGCACGATCTTGGTCGACCTGAGAGAGAGAGAGAGAGAGAGAGAGAGAGAGAGAGAGAGAGAGAGAGAGAGAGAGTTTTTTTCCTATTAGCTCCTCAGCAGTTCATCTGCTCCGCCTTTCCACCCCCACACACTCATCCAGAGAAGGACTTCACATCGTAATGAATGCTTTAAACTCTTGAGCACGATGACTTAACCCCACGCGGAGTACAATAGATCATCGTATTCAAGGGTTTAAGATATCTAACGCGAGGAATTAAGTCAACGTTCTCAAAGTGTCTATGATATTTTACTCATTAGGTGAATTCGTAATTTCCTTGCACTTAAGGGTTGGCATCGTACTCGAGGGGTAAAGTCATCGTACTCAAGGGGTTAAAGTCATCGTACTCAAGGGTTTAAATCATCGTGCTGAGAAGGTTGTCATCGTACTTGGGTTAACCGGACTTAATATATTCTACTTCACTATCTCACCTGCGGGGAAATCGCTTATACCTGAGGTAGTGTAGACACCTGGCCAGTGTCGTGTGTTGTTGTAAGGGCGTAGCTACCAGTGTGGCTGTAGCTACACCCTCTTGTTGTAAATATTTTGTGGTGAAGAGGGCTGGGAGTCGCATCTCGTTCTCCAGTACACCGGATCGATCTTTGCTGTTTGGTTGGCCATGTTTGTTGGTGTGTACTCTGTAATGTTTGTTGGTGTGTACTCTGTAATGTTTGTTTGTGTGTACTCTGTATTGTTTGTTGGTGTGTACTCTGTAATGTTTGTTGGTGTGTACTCTGTAATGTTTGTTGGTGTGTACTCTGTAATGTTTGTTGGTGCGTACTCTGTAATGTTTGTTGGTGTGTACTCTGTAATGTTTGTTGGTGTGTACTCTTTGTTTGGTGTGTACTCTGTAATGTTTGTTGGTGTGTACTCTGTATTGTTTGTTGGTGTGTACTCTGTAATGTTTGTTGGTGTGTACTCTGTAATGTTTGTTGGTGTGTACTCTGTAATGTTTGTTGGTGTGTATTCTGTATTGTTTGTTTGTGTGTACTCTGTAATGTTTGTTGGTGTGTACTCTGTAATGTTTGTTTGTGTGTACTCTGTAATGTTTGTTGGTGTGTATTCTGTATTGTTTGTTTGTGTGTACTCTGTAATGTTTGTTGGTGTGTACTCTGTAATGTTTGTTGGTGTGTATTCTGTATTGTTTGTTTGTGTGTACTCTGTAATGTTTGTTGGTGTGTACTCTGTAATGTTTGTTGGTGTGTACTCTGTATTGTTTGTTTGTGTGTACTCTGTAATGTTTGTTTGTGTGTACTCTGTAATGTTTGTTGGTGTGTACCTGTAATGTTTGTTGGTGTGTACTCTGTAATGTTTGTTGGTGTGTACTGTAATGTTTGTTGGTGTGTACTCTGTAATGTTTGTTGGTGTGTACTCTGTAATGTACTCTGTAATGTTTGTTGGTGTACTCTGTAATGTTTGTTGGTGTGTACTCTGTATGTTTGTTTTGTGTGTACTGTAACTCTGTAATGTTTGTTGGTGTACTCTGTAATGTTTGTTGGTGCGTGTATGTGTAATGCCTGTCTGTAAACTCTGTAATGTTTGTTGGTGTGTGTATACTCTGTGTTTGTTGGTGTGTACTCTGTAATGTTTGTTGGTGTGTACTCTGTAATGTTTGTTGGTGTGTACTCTGTAATGTTTGTTGGTGCGTACTCTGTAATGTTTGTTGGTGTGTACTCTGTAATGTTTGTTGGTGTGTACTCTGTCATGTTTGTTGGTGTGTACTCTGTAATGTTTGTGTGTACTCTGTAATGTTTGTTGGTGTGTACTCTGTAATGTTTGTTGGTGTGTACTCTGTAATGTTTGTTGGTGTGTACTCTGTAATGTTTGTGCGTACTCTGTAATGTTTGTTGGTGTGTACTCTGTAATGTTTGTTGGTGTGTACTCTGTAATGTTTGCTGTTGCTAATTTAGGTAGTAGCTAGCAGTTAAGTGACGATTACCTCGTACCCATTACTGAATATAGTAGATAGCTATACTTTAACCTGTAACACACACACACATTCCGGCACTTATCCTCCTCGCTGTGTATATTAGTATGAGGAGAATTAGATTGGTGTGTGTGTGTGTGTGTGTCGCGGAGTGAATAACGCAATAGTAGACCTGATCCTCGGTGGCCCCAGTTCTCCTACACAATACTTCCACTCCATAAAGACGACTCCTCCTTGGCTGTGGTCGTCCGGTGAAACTTGGGAGGTGCTGTGAGGTGGTAGTGTGGTCAGGACGCCCTTAGTAGACAGATTCAGTTTGTGCTTCGGGGATCTTGGACTCTGCAGTGGTTAGTTATATTACTTCCTGCCACCCTCCCCCTTCCACCCCCACCCCCCCATCTACGCGTATCGATCAGACACCAGCAACATAAACAGCTGCAAGAACAGAAGAAGTAGCAGCACCAAACACCTGCAATAACTAGCACGAGTAACAGCAGTAATAGTAGTTAGCAAGAACTTGATCAAGACCACTTATAGCAGTAATAACCCGCAGTACCACATGTCGTCAACACCAGAAACAACACCAGTGGAAACAAGAGACAACTACAATAACAAAAAAAAACAAAAACAATTGCAGTAAGATTTAAAAACTTCGAAACAACGAGGTTAAACGAGTAGCAACATCTAGCAGTACTACCGGGACCCATACAGCGGCACTGCCACTGCTGCTACTTGAGGTAGTGGCGCAGAGCCCGGCATTACTGTCATTACCAGCACGCACCAAGATGATTCCCGTATTGACTTATCCCAGAGTGGTGTGGGAGGGTGAGGGCGGCCTCAGTGGGTGGCATGGACCACAGTTGTAGGTTTATTTCACCTGCCAGCTGTGTGGGCAAACACTGAGGACGTCTTGTCTTGTAAACACTGGCAGTAAGTGGTGTATCCCACGTGGCCAGCGCGCTGATTGGCCCCCTGGGTATTACGGAGTTGCGCTGTATACTGCCGGTTAGGACTCATCTCCTACACTGTTACAAGTGTTTACAAGATGGTCTGGCGAAGTGTGGGAACATATACGAGCCTTTAAGAACATGAAAACTAAAGTGCCTTTTGTGAGTGTTAGTGGAGTCTGTGTTTGACTGGACGTGCACGTTATAGCGCTGTGCTGTGTGTATATATGGGAGTGTGTGAAACTTGTGTGTACTGAGGTCTATTGTCAGTTGTATTAATGAGTTGATTTTGTCATTTCAGGCACCTGGATCAAATGGACCTGGAGAGGCTCCCGCCCTTAGGCATGCTGCCAGCACTCAAGGCACTCCATTTGTAAGTCTTATCGCTTTTGTTCACACCTACAGATAACCCACAATGAACAATTGGCAACTTAATTTGCATATTTTTTGCTTAAAAGTTATACTGACGCATTATCAGCGACGCCATGGTTATGCGAACTTTGACCGCTGACGTCTCTGTTTACTGGTTGGCCAAAAAAATGAAATAGGTTTATTTGCATCATGAAAGATCAAGAGATTCTCGCAATGAAAACTTGCACACCGGTTTACTTTTTTTTTGGAGAAGTTCTTTTATAGAAATGCTCAAAGATACAGGAGTTAGGGTGTGGGTTTGCTGCTGTCTGTCTGGCAGCCATCTGCTCCTGTGTGGATGTTGTAGATATGTGTAAACAATAACAATCAAGGTCGGTTGTAGCACAGAGCTGATAGTCATAGTCTTTGGGTCATCACAGTTAAGTAGAGTGTTGGATTGACATATTGCATGATATTGCCTATGTAATTAATTTACAGAGATGTATTAGTGTGGTGCGCACAGAAATGAGAGTATTGTTGGCAATACGAAAAAGGAGTGATAGTGTTGGAATATGATTATGAAGCAGGTCAAGGCTATTGAACAGGCGCCAAACAAAATTCAAATTATTTACCTTATTTAACTAATGTTCATGCCGAGGGAAGGAGGTCAGTTATTTTGAAGCCTAATACTGTTCTCGATTCCACAGCTCGAGTTGGTAGCAGCCAAAACTTTAAAGTTCCCGCCTTAAATTTTCGACAATGCAACAGTATTCTGCTCATTTTATATATCCCATCGATACTCTGATGTTCACTAGCAATTCTGAAGAGAAGGTCATTATCAAAATTAAATGGATAGCTGCACCTGTCAAAACTATTGTTTACACTTAGCAGCCGCTTGGCGGCGCCACAGTCGGGGATGAACAAGTTCGCCCATTAAAGTGAGCCATCTTCCTACAGTATAGAATCCTTGGTGTAGGGCTGTAGGTTAAAATTCCCCTTTCCTTGTTGCTGCTAGTATTGTATATAAGGAACGCTGTGTTTACACGTCCAACTAACCTTTCCTCGTTTACAGTATGTTTCTCATATTTTATGCCCACACGGCACACGGAGAGTCACCGATTTGCATTTCTTCATTCTTACAGCTTAGAACAGTGACATGTTGTGAGCTTCTTTGTTAGCATCTTTGAATTACTTGAGTAGAATGATTACAAAGTGTTTCCTTGAGTTTTGCATTTAAGGTATTAGTACTTTCCCACTAAAAAAATGCGTTCTGTGGGTGCATACGTGTTGTACTGATCATTGTTTTATTTAATTGTTTTATGGCAGGAGCGGCAACAGGATATCGTCCGTGGAGGAGGTGTCGCTGACGGGGATGCCCAACCTAATAGAGCTGGATCTCTCCAAAAACCGCCTCGTCACGCTCTCCCCCAACCCCTTCGTTAACGTCACCCTCATCAGGCTGTGAGTACTTTTTTCTGCATCATGTGTACACGGTAAAAAAAAATATTAAGATGACTCTGATAACTTTCGAAGGAATCAATACTACTTTTGTCGTCTCGGTAGGGCTGTCAAAATCCTTCGTCCGCGGTGTCCTTTTCAGGGTGGATAGATCCTTTTTTTTTTTTACAGTACATATTTTCTACATTGTGTTCATTCCGTTGAACACATACATACATACATACATACATACATACATACATACATACATACATACATACATACATACACTCCGGATATAGCTAAATTTGCTTTCGAAAATAATGCCATGCCGAGACACTAATTTAATAAGAAATAATTCGGGTCATTAGGGTGCTATAGATTACACAACATTTGGGGCCACCGACTTGTATACACCCATTACAAGAATTACCACATAATGGTGTAGACCTGACCTTCTCCGTGTTGGTGTTTGTTTGTGTCAACTAAGATATTTTGATAAAACTTCACTGGGATGTGTGTCTTCACTAGACGAACTGCAGAACACCCAATTTAGTCGTGTGTGTTTAAGGTCAAGATCAAAGCTGAAGAAAAAATCTCATATGTGTCTTATGTAATGTTTGCGGTTTGTTCTGTGTTGCCCGCAATGAGAGGTGTATCAGGGGGGGGGGGGTCCTGATCCATAAATGTTCGTAATAACTAGTCAATATTCATCGGAACAAAGATATGAGAATGCACGTAAGTGGAGACCTTAAGATAAAACACAAAAATCACGTCCAACAATTGAATTCCTTAACTATATAGACACGTTCGTGTACCTGGTAACACCAGATAAAATAAGTTGGCTGCGTTTTCCATCTACACTGACGATGAATAGTTATCGTACGAACTTAAAGAATCTACACCTTGTACCTGTTTTCAAGAAAGACTTAAAATTGTAAGAATTTTCTCGAGAAGTGTTTATCATTTACTAGCAAGAAAGCTGTAGCACCTTTGTATATATATTATTCTGGCTAAATATATTGTTTGACGAGTATCGCCCAGGTTGGTTCCTGCACGACACACCAAGTAACTCACCCGTGTTAACACAACTGCCCTCTTAACTTTTATTTACCCCCAAAAGAGAAGGAATTTTATTAAGAGCAACATTTTTTCCTTTTTATTAAGTGAAACAGGACGCTCACGGGGAATATAGTGATGAATCACGGCGATGAACTATTCTCAGGGGTTAAGACATGAGGGAGGTATTGTAGCGGGCACAGACAAGCACTAAATGATGACGTCAGCAACGAGTCTGCCTTTATTGGCCGACTCCCCGGCATATCTTACACACGATCGGTGGGACTCCCCTATATTAATTAAAAGATAAATTAGAGGTAAGGAGACAAACAAACTGAAGTCCATTACCGTCACTTGGCGGGGTACGCTCTAAATTATTGTAATATAGTATACGGTATAGTAAAATATTACCTGGTTCATACCAAGGTAATAAAATTGGACAAAATTGTGGAAGGACGTAAGTAACCTTGAACTTACTGATTTTTAATTAAGAAAGTCCTTTTCCTACCATGATGGGAGGTGGCTGGACAGGTGCTATCTCTTGATTGTCATTCAGCAGGTACAGTAACGGACTCTGGTCTACCTAATGATTGTTTCACCAACCACCATAAGCTCTAATTGTACCAGACTAGGTATAGTACTCATATATAATGTGGTTGGGTTCACCTGGGTTTCTGTACTGTAAGGGAACCCAGTCCTTCGCTTCCACGAAACTTGTGAGTTACAGTGTTGTGTGAGGCTGGTGTAGGGTGGGAGGGACACATTACCTCGGGTTGAGCTCAGGGACCTGTTGTGTTTGTTGTTGGTTGGGTGTTGTGAGTGTCGCGGGGTTGCTGGAGGTGTTATGACGTGTGGAGTGGGTTGGAGGGTGGATGGTGCGGGTGGCATGGGCGGCGCCACCCACTTGCGGACGCCGCTCATCATCTCGTTGAGATTGATCGTTTTATGACCACCGAGCGCCCTTGTGCCCGCCACCCCCCCCCCCTCTCAGTTGGTATTGTTGTCTCCCTCCCTCCCGATTTCGTTATAACTGTTGTCTCCCTCCCTCACTATCTCCTCACAAATTTCTTTCCGCGCCTAAAACTCCACCACAAGTTCACTCGCCACTAATAAAAATGAAGGAAACTGCTTTCACTATTACACTACCTCTCCACACTCGACCCACTGCCACAACCCCTGCCTGCTACTATGCCTCGTTGTCAGGATGATTAGGACTTGCTACCATACAACACATTCCACCACACTCTACAACGCGAGTCGTAGTGTTAAGATCATCACAAGTGTCTGCACCCAAACACGACAGATGATATATTTAGGTCGTACAATAACTTTTCTGAGATATTTGTAGTACAGTTATTTATTAGGTACCTTTCAAAAGAGCTGCAACACTCAATAGACTCAGCCATGTTTTTCTCTTATCTATGGATCACTGAAGAGTAACACCACCAGCTTATATCACCTGATGATTTAATACCGTACTACTGCCGGGGTTATGGTAGGTATCCATTAGCTTGGGTCTATAGACTGGTCCAATGTCGACACTGGTATTTATTGGTGCATTAGTCGTGTGCTAACCGACAATTTGGGATTATCTGGTTAGTTTTTTTTTTTACTTATTTTAGGGAGTGGGAGATCATTTAGGTAAAGTGTGCATGTCACTTCCTCCGAACAGACATTATTGTTTTACCTTTGTTTCGTGGGTTTTTTTTGTGGTGTGTGTGTGTGTGTGTGTGTGTGTGTGTGTGTGTGTGTGTGTGTGTGTGTGTGTGTGTGTTGTCGAGTGGTGTAATGTGGCGGTTGTGGGTAGTGTGAAGTGATGTGGCTGTATGTGGTGGGTTACCTTGCTCTCCTCAGCACAGCTTTAGTCTGCGTCTCCACAACCATACTGCTTAACCCCACCAAATGGTAGGTTAGGCTAAGCTAAGCTAGGTCGGGTTCAACTCTTGGCAGACACAGCATGGAAAATAGATAGTGAAGAAGCATACCAGATTTCATCATAAAGTCGGACATCTTGGGCTGCTTGATCGACGAAGTGCCCCGGGATCGAACCAGCGAACCTTTGGATAGGAGGCGAGTGATGTATCCACTTGGCCACCCAACCCCCGGTGTCACTCACTTGTGCAACTTAAACTTTATACGTCACGCTAACAGTAACCTTTGCTATGCTTTTTTTATACACAAAGTTGGGTGGGTGATACTTATCTTATTGATTATCACCTTAATAACGTACTAATAATGATAACAATTTAGTGAGAATAATTTTCATGAATATAGTTAAACCCATACAGGAAATGTAAATAAAAAAAACAACAACCAGGGATAGAAATATAAACGCCATGTGGTGTACGTTGGCTTGGGTGGTAGATACTCCCTGGGTCTCCACTGAATAACTGTTGTCATATGATGGTCTCACTTGTGATGATGCCCTTACCATGGTTGTACCGGGCATGGTGTGTTACTGTGGGCAGCTTTCCTCCTCCTCTCCCACGCCCCACCCGCTGCCAGTAATGAGGATGTAGCGCTCAATCACAGCAAGTGGAGCCACAGTGTCCCACATGCGCCGGTTGGCCATCGTCTCTGCTTAATATACACCGTCCTGTACTGACGAATTGAAAGATATTTGTACTCCGGCAACGGTGCTGAGTTGGTTATCGTTTTGGATTCTGAGAAGCATAAAGGACACATCAGGATATGGTGTAATGATGGTGGATGTGGTGGCATAAGTGTGAAATGAGGAAGTGAGTGATAAATCAGAGTGGGTGTGGGTGGTGCAGGTGCGTGGTCGTGGTGGCCTGGCTGGCGGGCTTGTGTAGTTCTCAACCTAGGACGAAGAAACTCCTATATCATACCCATTTATATATATATATATATATATATATATATATATATATATATATAAACTTTAATTATAATGAATATATATATTTTATTCAATAGTATTATATATAGTTTATATCCATAAGTTTTAATAAGTTAATGGAATTATGCGGAAAAAAATTTATTTACATTTTTTATAAATTACAGTATAGTACTGTAATTAGATGTTTTGACTCTAATTTTAATTAGTAACTTGAAAAATTAGTAACTTATAATAATTAAATTTAATACCCCGTACTGGAAGATTAAAATTTATAAAATGTTTATGACTTGCTATTTATCCTGGGAAAAATACGGGGAAGTGGAGGATGGCGGGTGCACGTAAGCAGCAATCTACCATGATGACCTGCCTCTCCTCACTCACCTACTCCACCCGCGCCTCCTATTATCACATTATTGCCCTCAACATGGTCTATTATCCGCTACTTTAGAAGTGCGGTTCCATAATTTCAAGTGTTATTTCCTGAAGTAACCGAATTGACCTTGGTTAGAAAGACACATTTATACTTGTATGTGAATAACTAGTTGGAGGGATGTGTTTTGTTTGTCATAGGTACTGTACCTTAGTTGGGTCGGTAGGTGGTCTGTGTTTGTTTCTTACCCCTGAAATGCAAAAGCCACACACAGTTTACTGATTATATAGATATTAATTCTGTTCCCTAGATTTTTAGTTAAGTACCTCAGTGTTGTAGTTTCATTCTTTAGTTAGATAGTAATAATAATGATTTATTATTTTGCAGGAACCTGAGTAAGAACAAGATCCGGGGTCTGGAGGCGAGATCTTTCAGGACGCTGAGTTCCCTGGCGGAGCTGAAACTGTCCCGTAACATGCTCACCCCTGCCACCTTTAACCGAAGTGGCTCCACTCGCATCTTTGCCAACCTCACCAAACTCCGATCTCTGTAAGTCTCCTCCCTAATCTCACCAACCTCTGATATCTGTCTCCTCCCAACATCCGCTCCTTGTAAGTTTCTTCCCTACCCTTCTCAACCTCCGATCTCTCTAAGTCTCCATACTAACCTCACCAACCTCCAGTCTTACCGTCTTCTCACCAACGTCGATCATCTCAGTCTTCTCCTTCCTCGCATCGTACTTATCTTTGCTAGTTAAACCAACTTTTTCCCATTTAACTCTTTAACTACCTTAACCCCCACATTTTCCTGAGATCAGCCTCCTTGATTATGGTAACTAACCCCACTCTGTTCCACTGACAACCATTAACTCACCCACTCATCCTACACAACAACCATTAACTCACCCACTCATCCTACACAACAACCATTAACTCACCCACTCATCCTACACAACAACCATTAACACGCCCCACTCGTCCTACACAACTACCATTAACTCACCCCAGTGGCGTAGCTAGTGTGTGTGCCGCCCGGGGCGGCCCTTGAGTTTGCCGCCGCCCCCCCCCCCCCGTGACCCTACAAAAAATACATATTGCACAGTGACTCACTCTTATATATATATATATATATATATATATATATATATATATATATATATATATATATATTAAATAGTTTGCCTTACTGTTGTCAGACAAAAGCCACCCCGATCAAAGTAGGGGGCTTTTGTCTGGGTGGCTTTCGTCTGGGGGGCTTTTGTCTGGGTGGCTTTTGTCGGGGGGGCTTTTGTCTGTACCCCAGTGAGGATAGTGTCTTAGTATAAAATCGCAATGCTGTGAAACAAAATCTTAATATTTAATCTCAGTACCGCAGCAAAAGTCACATCAATATTTTTTAACCAATACTTTAATATTTCTTACCTTATAGTATTATGTCTTCCAACGAAGTAAATAACTGGATCGAAAACACAAGAGAACTTAAAAGTCGTCTAGCCTCCCCTCGTCTTGTCACGATGGAGACTTGTGGAGAACTGAAGTGAATTGCTTGTAACTGGTGGATTGGTCGGCTGTACATGAACTGATATGACCCGAGACTGCATGGTTTTGCAGCTACTGGAGACGTTAATTCTTCCCTTTGTATCGGCGGCAAGTTAATCCTCGTCGTGTCTGACCTAACACCTGACCCACACCACATGAGCTCACTGGCGTACTTGTTTGAAGTTGTTTCCTTAATCCTCAACAGGTTACAGGTTGTGTGTGTGGGGGGGGGGCGCATAGCAAGGGTGTACGTAGCTCATGACGTGGCCGTGATGATGTGGGTCAGGTGTTAGGTCAGACACGACAAGGATTAACTTGCCGCCGATACAAAGGGATGGATTAACGTCTCCAGTAGCTGCAGATATGGGTGATGAGCAGACCCAAAAGTGCCGCCCCCCAAAAGTGCCGCCCGGGGCGGACCGCCCCCCCCCCGCCCCCCCCAGCTACGCTAGTGACTCACTCTGCACAACAACCATTAACTTACCTTATATGACTGCCTTTATTTATTCTACTTTAAATTATATGTTATTCACTACATTCAGTTACCACAATTACCTCCCTTCCCACAGCTTTCATGACTTACCATATCTCACCCAGTTCTGCTTGTATGGCTGTTGTTACTACTCCTATTTAGCTTCAAAAGTTACTATTGTGAAACTTTTCATTGGCCAAAACTACTACTTGTACATAATTGACTTAGTGTTGTTGATGCTCAGTCGGCTCTCTCTTCAAACTCTTCACAAATCTAAAACTAGTAGTAATCTCTACTTACTTCTTGTATCATTACAATAATTTTCTTATTCCAACTACTCTGTTGTGCAGGTAATTACCACAGTTGTCATTTCTCACTTGACTGCCACTGTTATAATCACATTTATTATAGTTACCAATACAGTACAGTACTTGTAATAGCTCTCACCACTAGAAGCATAACTCAGTGGCCATATTGTATTCAGTGAGGTTTAACTGAGGTGCAATTCTCGCTTGTTGAAAATTTCTCCCAATTATGGTTATTTTATGAGTTTCCTTTATTATAGGTACTGTATCTGCTTATGAAGCGTTGTTATTATTTTCAGTGTTCAACTGCCATTTCTGATGCATTTTAGCAAAATATATTTATGTACAAATGGCTTGAATCGCAATATACAGTACAAGCACTTGATATTGACATTTTAAGAAGTGGATATGGATGTGATGTGGAGATGAGGTATATAGAAAGAGATGGCAAAGGAATGCACTTTTAAGTGAAATGAACTGGAACTGAGAGGGTGGACACATGTTAAAAGAGTGTACTGTATTGTTGTTAAGGCTGTAGGGATGTCCTGTGCTTCTTGTGTGTAGGAAGCTGTGCATAAGCCATCCTGCTAAGTAATAGGAGCCGGCCAGTGAGATATAGTTGAGGGGATTATAAAAGTGAACAATATAAAGATGAAGAAAAGTTTAAGCTGCAGGGAGCTGTACAAGATAGAAGAATTAGAAAGGGGCAGAAATAGCAAATGTGTGATGCTTTATAGCAGCCCAGCATGTAGTACTATACTGTATAGCTTGTAATTTTATTACAAGTTTAGAGGCAACATTAAGATAGAAGAAATTCCTCACTACATAGGTAATATACATTGGGTCAAATAGACTAGTAGTGTAATGTACCATAATTTTTAATCATACTAATTTCTGAGTCATTATTGATTTATATTATACCTTGTATTTACAGTATAGCATTATGTTAGTACTGTACAATATTTATTTTTTGTAGCGACCTCAATGGGAACCAACTACACCAGCTTCAGGGTTTGATGTTTGAGGATCTCAAGAAACTGAAAATTCTTAAACTTCGACGGAATGAAATCACTACTTTCAGTGATGGTGTCTTCTATGGCTTGGATTCCATTGACAAACTGTAAGTGTTGGATGATGAAAAATTTGTGTTTGGTATTACAGTACAGTACCTGTATTTCACAATACAGTACTGTACTTAATTTTTAATTATTTATTGACCTTGAGTATTTTGGCATGTATATACAGGTACACCACCGATTTTCCGGGAACTGGTGGCCGGCACCTCCTTTAGTCTGGACAAAATTACGAGATGGCACTTAACTTCCCTCCCTCCCTCCCTCCCAGCCAGGGTGAGGGTAGTTTTAGGCTTATAGTTTTTATTTTATTAAGTGTCACAAACTAAACATAGCAGAATACTGTACCGTATAACTTGCATTGCTGGAATCCTTGTAAGATAGCGAGTAATTTGAGTATAAACATCACATAATTTCACAAGAGATAAAAATTTAGTCCTTTTGTGTGTACAGTAATATGTTGCTCAAAATTGTCTTTTTCACATTTAATTTACATTAAACATTTGTTTCATTTAATTTTCTATCAGTCCATGGTGCTTTAGAGACACGGGAGGTGTATAATTAGTGGGTCAGAGGTGTATTGTTGAATTATTACATGACCTCGGTTGGTCCAGCAAAACGGATAATCCGGCAAGGCTTTGGAATCAAGGGTGCTGAAAAATCGGTGGTGTACCTGTAGTACCAAATAGGAGTAATTGTTAAGAAATTGGTATAGATATTCAGATTATTGCATCATCATCATTGTTTTAGTCATTTTCCACGCGTGCGTGGGCTAGCTGCAGTTACCCGATGGCAGCTCTCCATGTTGCATGGTTTCTTGCAGTCTTTCTTGTCAGGTTCCTAAGTCTGTTATTTCTTATAAACTCTCCCATGTCATTGCATGAAATCTTTTCTTATCCATGCAAATACAGCATATGTAATTGTTTCCCATAACTCAACAATTTTTACTACATATAATATGTGATATTGTATTTTATGATATGCTCTGTATCAATTTTATTGTTTATCACAGCAATTTATTTATTTTTATTTTTTTATGTGCATGGTTACAGTTTTACATTTGTTTGAATTAGGCTCATCTTTTTATCACTAAATCATTAAACTCTGAACCACATAGTTTATATAAAAGTTTGGTGTTAATAAGTTTATATAGAAGTTTGGTGGTAATAAGTTTATTTAGAAGTTTGGTTTGTTAATAAGTCGGTCATTTAACTTTGAAACCATTTATAATAAACTCGTTTATTATTATTATTATTAGGGAGTACAGTGCAGGTAGTATTGTACAGTACAGTACTCGGTGTTTACCACCCTGCTGTTTGAACCATTGTTTGCCCTCTGTGCTTTGCTGTTATCCCTCATTTAGCGATAATTTAGCTCAACATTAGGTTTTCAGGAATGCAACCCCATCGTTAAATGTGGGATACTTGTACTGTGCTCTTAAATGTAAACAGATTTGGAGATGCTTAATTTTCATTGTAAAGTTTCAAAATAAAACTCTTATGAAAAATACACAATAAATAATAACTGAGGCCCACATAACTTAACCAGACTACATAAATTTTCTTCAACATAGGTACGAAGTCAAAAGTTTGTTTCAACAACTTCATATGATTTAATTCCATGAGATATAATCAATATATTATAATTTAGAATTTAGAATATAAAAATGATATGAGAATCTTATAATAAATGATACAGTAATTTACAATCACTTTCTTTCTTCCACAGGTTTTTGGACTACAACAATATAACAACAGTGGAAGCAGGATTGCTCTTTGGTCTTAAATCCCTTGAATATTTGTCTCTCAGTTACAATCAGATTGACTCCATCCGACCTAATGCTTGGCAGTCGACAAAAGAATTGATCTCTTTGTAAGTCTAGCATTATTAAGAAAATATTTTTCGAGGCAGATAGATTGATGGTAAAAGAATTCAAGTACTGTTAGAATCTGGCATTTTATCAACTGTACTACAGTACAGGTACTGTGGTCCCTCGGTTAACGAACAAAATTCGTTCCAGAAGGTCGTTCGTTAACCGAAAATTTTGTTATCCGAAACCATTGTTTCAATGGGATTTTGGTTAATTGGTTCCAGCTCACCGAAAATTACATACAAAGTAAAAATAAATGTAGTAAAGTACACTTACTTTGAGGTGTGTATGTAGAAGGCTCCTGATTGATGATGATGGTGATGGGAATTAGAAGTGGGGGTGGAAGAGAAATCACCCCATGCTTCATGCCGTCATTTCACCCAAAAAATTTTAAGTTCACTAAGTGTAATTCAAGATTATTTTCTTTAAATCAACACTGCACTGCACTTATATATTGTCAATGTGTAAAATAAATTTCAGAATGACCAATACCTTAATTGTACTGTAAAAACGTAAAAATAGTTTATGTTCAAGAGTCACAAGTAAGATGTTACCTCCACTGACCAGAGATACAAACTGACGCCATGCTGGGTGAGTCAAGTGGCTGTTTGGCACACTAAAAACTAGTTTCCTGTACTTCAATTATGTTAAATAATTGTTAAAATGACTAAAAATTTTAATATAAAACTTGGAAAATTATTGAATAGTACAACCTTCTTAATATTTACTCAAATGGGAACGAATTTAAGACCTAGAACCGATTCCTATATTGGCGGACTAATATTCCAGCTGGTGAGCAAGCGAAAACATGTTGAGAGGAACTCGTAAGGAATTCTTTAACCTAATTTTTTTCGTTAACTGAATTGAATATTCTTATGGAAGGTAATTCGTTAACCGAGGCGTTCGTTAACCGAGGGACCACTGTACATGTATTAAGAGGGTTAGTTCTACCCTGCTACTGATAGGATACAGGTTAACATTCTCTTATCCAGCAACCTTGGGACCAGATCAGGGATGATAGAAATTCCCGTTAAATAGAAGGTCAATAACTAATGGTTACGCTTAGACTAATGCCTTTGTATACTGTTTTGACACACAGTATTGAATAAAATTAGTAAATAAACAAATTATGTGACAAAAATATTTAATGAATGTTGACATCACTCATTCCAGTCTAAACTGGCTCATAGTTGGGCACTTGTAACCAGTATTCATGATCTGATATCATCCAAAAAAAATTTGTTATTCCCGGTCATTCATCCCAATTTTTTTTTTTTTTTGTGCGTGCGTGCGTGAAGAAACACCGAAAGATTGGTAAAAATTAGCCAGTAAATGTACCATTATACTGTATAAAGTAAAGGTGTATGCATAATCTCCCTCTCAGCCATTTTCCAACTGGCCACCCACCACCATGATCAACCTCATCAGCTAGCCAGCACATCTATCTACATCCATTAATACTGCTCAATGATACTAATCACTGTTTCTTCTGTGATTGGTGAAGTATTGGTCAACTACAGTATTATGATTTATCCCAAATTATTAGTTATTATGTATACACAAGAGAGAGAGAAGCAAATGAAAATTTTATTTTGACAAGAATTCTAACTCGCTGTTTTTGCTGTTGTTCTAATATTTATTAACCAGATAACCAAAATTCAACTGATGTCCTGAAGTACTGTTTGCAAGTCTGTGTTCCTTGTAGAAATAGTACAGTTCAGTAAAATGAGAACTTAGTGTGAAGATATCTACATTTTATTATAGAAATTCCTCATCAGTAACAGACATGTTCCAATGTGGTCAATCAGTTTTAAATTTAAATTTACTTTGTGCTTTCCTCCAATATATATAGTAAAGAGAAGTGCCTGTGTATCTTCCTTTCATGTCTTAGCATAGAAGAATCATATTTTCACCTTATGGTTACGGCAGGACCTGTAGAAATGAAAGCCGTAACTTAGGGCACAATTTTTTTTAACTCGACAGTATTTATGATGCAATTTTTTTTTTCATATAAACTATTACCTGGTATGTTGAAGTTAAAGTGCAACATGTTGAAATTAAACACACATACCGGATATCATGCTCTTTTTTTTGTCATATTTTAGTTTATTAGTAAGGTCTCGAGTGCATGCATCGTCAAATTGAACAGCAGTGTGGGCTATACTTCACTGATATTTATTTATGAAAAGGGATTTGTTGAATGTCACTTGGTAAAGTGACTTCATTGAACGTGTGAATATTATTGTCTTAAACAAAATGAATTTTTGCAGGGACCTAAGTCATAACCGATTGGTGTCTCTGAGAGAAGGAACATTTAGAGGATTGGGCTCACTTACGACACTGACGCTCTCACATAACCACCTTGCCCATATCGAGCAGGATTCATTTGAGTCTACATCCAATCTTCTTAGTCTGTGAGTTGCTCTTCAAACAATACCCTTTATATAGAATCTTTAAAAAAAAATTTGACTTTATCTCATGTAATATACTTTTGTTTATGGATAATTAATGAAGACAATTTGTTGTTTGATTACTACTTTCAAGGATATTATTCATTTTATTTATTTATTAATTTATTTTTTCAATGTTTCAGAGATCTTTCCCAAAATCAGCTACGGTGGAGTGTAGAGGACAATAGTGGAGCATTTAGCAGACTGGACAATCTCAAGAGTCTTTCATTGGCCTACAATGGTATTGAAACTGTACATGTTGAAACTTTTGTACCTCTTATGTCACTGGCATCCCTTGACCTGCGAGGGAATCAGCTCCGTACCTTACCAAATAATCCATTTGCAAGACTGAAACATCTGACTTCAGTGCATCTAAATACCTCTAGTCTTGTTTGTGACTGTCATCTATCATGGCTACCAGGGTGGTTGTCAGCTGTTACTTTTAATGCCTCTTCATCTATGATCATCTCCTGTAATTATCCAACCAGTTTGCGAGACCGTCCTGTATCTTCCCTCTTAAGTACAGATTTCAGCTGTGAATCATCACCACGCCCCATAATTAGTCAGTCCCCAAAGGATCAGATAGTGCTGCATGGTGCTAATGTGACACTGGCTTGTGTTGCTCAGGCTGGTGCAGAAGGGGACCAACCCAAGTTTATGTGGCGGAAGAACAATCAGCTGTTGGTTGACCTCCAACCTGAAACTCATATCAGTGTAATTGGAGGTGATGGTGAAGGTGGTGCCAGACACAATGTGACTTCTTTGCTTCATCTGCGTAATGTTTCTGATGAAGACAGTGGTGAATACCAGTGCGTTGTACGGAATCACTTCGGGGCTAGTTACTCTCAACGTGCTAACATTCGGGTTCATGTGTTTCCGTACTTCACCAAAACTCCAACTAGTGTGGCTGTACGTATGGGAGAAGTTGCCAAGCTGGAATGTGATGCAAGAGGTTCTCCAACCCCAGAAATATCTCTGTTAAAAGATGGAGGGGAAGATTTCCCAGCAGCTCGGGAACGAAGAATTCATGTGTTTTCCAATGAAACCATATTCTTTATTAAACCAGTGCAGCCTCATGATGAAGGCCAGTATACATGTAAGGCTTCCAATGCAGCAGGTACAGCTTCAGCTCATGCCTCTGTGACAGTACGGCAGATACCAGAGTTTACTAAATCATTACAAGATGAAGTTGCTAGACTTGGAGATAATGCTCTTCTTGAATGTCAGGTAAGAATGACAAAGTATCTAAAACTTGTCTTTATGTTTGTTTCATGATCAAGTACCCTCAATTTTTAGTGAGACATTAATTAGCAATTATTGAAGTTAATGTCTAATTATAAACTTTCACATTTATTTACTCATTGAAACAGGGTACAGGACTTCCCTCACCAAAAGTGACCTGGAGCAAGAATGGCATTCCCCTTGAAGATGATGGCCACTATGTGCTGGTTGAGGATAGTCGGTACCTGCTGATCAAAGAGGCACAGATGGATGATGTGGGAATCTATGTCTGTGAATTAACGAATATTCTTGGCACAGCACGTGGACATGTCAATCTCTCCATAAGAGGTAGGATCACCTGCCTATGTATATCTATGAATTGGAAAACCTTACATTCGATAAAACATTGAATAAGTTCCTCATGTGACTTATCCATGTTTGTGCTAGTATATATGCAATCAAATACTTTTCAGAAACACTTTGTGCACTCTTTTGCAGATGTGTTTATGATTTTTGTTCGTTAGAAACCAAGACAGCTCTCACCATGCAGTGTGTAATAGCTGACAACATTTTCTTTGATGAAACAGGAAAACTTGAAGTATTCAAATTGGGGGTACATTTGTATAGAGATTAACCTGGGGGTAAAGAGAAGTCTTTACTGAATGAGGATAGTTTAATTTTTTAAATATTTTCATATTAGGTGATGTAGATTTTGATCTTTTGTTATTCAGTGAATGCAAAACAAATTGTTGACTAATTAAATGTGTTTTATTTTGTTTGCAGATATGACAAACACTTCTACAACAACTGGTATAGTGGTCATGGCAGTGGTAGTTTGTGTAGTAGTAACATCATTAATATGGGTAGTCATCATACATCAGACCAGGAAACGAGCCCAAACTACTGCCTTAGGACCTCCTGCTGGGTATCCAAGGGAAGATGGGCTTAGTCCCTATCCTCCACACTTACCTACACACCATCATTTACCCCCAGACCTTGTGCACACATTCACCCCATTGCTAGCCAACCCTCCTGAGCCTTATACCACAGCAGGACAGGACAGTGGCTCGGAACACTCAAGCGGCAAAGATTCAGGCACGGGTGATTCTGCACAGCGGTCCAGTGAAGACTTGCTACCTCTTGATCTCACTCGACCAGGCCTTCGTAGATCATTGATTATTTGTGCAGATTCTGGATCACCCTCGGTCATAAGAGGTTAGTGTGATTTTATTCTTTTGTTTTGAGAACCGGTACTATATATTTTTAATGACTTCGATGGCTTCTTAGAACAGGACAGCATATACACATATACAGAAAGTTTTCTGCCGAACAATACACAGAAATACATACTAATCATCATGGGTCACAGAATTATCCTTTGCTATCCTCCTACATCTGTCACTGCACATTTGTCAGTAAAGCCAAAGTTAGAACTATCAAAATTGAACAATGTTGGTGTAAAAAGTTGATTCCCAAGGCCATGTTTCTGTCGCCTTGCCAACTCTGCCATGCATCTGGGGTCAGCTTGCACTTGTTGATAAGTCATCAGTAGTTTCTTTTGTTTCACTACCACTCATTTCCCATTAACTTTCTTGAAATTCAATATCAGATACTTCACTATCTGTATCTGAAAACACATCAGATAAGTCAACATATTTGTCTAATCTATCCGCCCATTAGTTATGATTATCAGATGCTGTCACCTAAGCAGGAAATTATGAGATCTTCCTGAGGCTAACTGATCATGTGAAGAAAAAATTTGAGTACAATACTATATTGTGTATGATCGCTGTATAATAGGAATGTGTGTTTGCCATCTCCTGGTCTCTGGATGTATTTTCCAACCTGATAAGAGGTGTGGGAATTTTCAAATCCAGAATATCATACACGACATGGTGGTAGTGGATGCCTGGTGGAGCAATACATCATATGTGACATGGCAGCAGTGAATTGGTAACTAACACTGCAACTGTAGTAAAAAAGATGCCATATTTTAGCATATTTTCATTACACTACTGTATTACTTTGTAAAAAAATATGAAAAAAAACAACAACGGCTTTCATTCATAAATCAAATCGTGACTTTTTTCTTAAAATTTTTGTAAACCAAGCCTTCATAAATATCAGGGACTTTTTATGTCATTACTAAGGAATGACATAAGCATTATTAACTTTAATTGAAAGCCTATGCTTCTAAACTTATAAAATATTACTCTTTACTGTACTCTTGAATATTTGAGAGAAATAAAAATTCTGAACTGTGTGAGATCAAGTAATTTGCTATGCTGTGAATTGATTACTGTACTTTGGGTCTTCTTCAGACTTTGTGTATTCAGTGATATTGATACTGGTAGGATATTTACAGTAACTACTTGTAGTAGTAACAGTTCAGTGATGCAAATGAAGATATTCACACAAGAAATAATGTACTGTATTTATCTCTGAAGTTTGTGTCAGAATGTTTGTTGTATTTTAAGAGTTATTAAGGTTGACAGAACACTAAATAAATGTATCAGAAGTGTGACTGTAGGGAAAGGATGTCCTTTGAAAACTGCTCAAAGAAATTTATTTACCCGGTAGATATATGAAGACGTGTTGTGTACAGTGGCAGATAGGTTAGTGAACAAGAATTATATTACAGGGTACATTATTACAGTAAAAAGTAGTAGTGAGGGGTAGATATATAAGAGATAGGTTATTGAGGTCTAGAAATAAAATATTTAAACCTGGGGATGACAGAACCATATTTAGTGAAGGTTTAAGAGTGGGAGTGAGTAGGTGTGAAGGGGTCAACCAGTGTAGAAGTCTTGAAAATTATAACTTTTCTTATATTTTCAGGTATAAGTGCTGTCAATGTTGGTCCAAGTGGTGAAATAATTGGGTGCGAAGAAGCCTTGGGTCGTCCAAGACTCTCAACCTTCAGTCCCCAGCATCTCTCTCCAGGAGGTTATAGTCCTAATCATTATACTGCCAGCCTGAGACGTGGCTCAAATTCTCGTCTTCTTCCCGTTTCCTCGCCTGTAACCCCGTCTGCAACCTTACCTCGTGGTCAATATTTGTGCCAGGCTAATTCTTACCTGCCACAACCAACAGTAGCATCTCCATCTACTGAAATTTCCACTAGACATATTCCACAGGTTGTTCAAGCTGCTGTGAATAATCTGGGAAGTAGTCCAAGTAAAGACCAGGGCAGTCATTTTCCAGAACTGGCTGCAAGGGAATCTTTGGTGGTTAATAGTGAAAATGAAGTATTTAACACAAGAACCTCAGTGTGCAGTGTTGGGGATGGCCGCAGTGAACTGGATATAAGGACAGAGGATCCAGATGCAAAAGTTAATAATAGCATTCCTCCAAAGCAAACTCTCGAGTCTAGATAATGGTCCTAGTGCAAAGTAACTAATTTTGCATCTCCCACCACGAAAGATGGTAATTCTTGTCGGCATTTTTGAAAATACAGAGTATTTCAGACATCATTCCACAAAAAGGGAAAATATAGTGGGCTAAAATTCTTAGCCATAAAATATTTAATGAAAAGCTGGAATGGATATGTGACAATAGTTGACAAGTATGTGACTAAACTGTTAAGTGGTGGGCAAGAGCAGTAAAGTGTATTGAGTACCTGTCTGGTGCCATAGTTGTTCCAGTGCTGCCAGTGTTAAGCTGTACAAAGTTCTTGACCGTTAAATGTTTTACTGGTATTCTAACTATCCCATTATACTCAACTCTTTAGCCCTCTTCAAATAATTATGGTTAGGTTACCCTGTTTTAATTGTAAATTTGTAGGATAAGGGCTTAGTTTGGTATTTACCATCACAATAGAATATATGATTTCTTTTGGCAAAGCAAGTTAGTAAGCCCTGAGTGAATAATATTTAATAGAATTATTATGGGAAATGACAAGGTTAGTGCATAGCATGATCTGTGTGTTGAGCCCAGGTATAATATTGTACTCTTCCTTTATGTTGCTACATTGATAAGCTATTAGTTTGACCTACTGTTGTGAAAATTTCTCACTGAAATGAAGTATCAGGGTGATGCGACCAGAATTACTTAGCATTCTTTCTCTAATGTGTATAGAGGTTCATTGATGCAAAACTTTGTGCTCTGTGAGCATAATTATAGTTGTGTACCTATTCTATGTACATAACTGTACCATAGGTTCGATTCATAAAAGAAGCCAGCTATATGCATTCTCCGTGATATGAAGGGACTACAAGTACCTTGAAAAATTTTGTGGTGCATTATTAGCTTCTTAGGTTTTATTTTCTTACAATGTATTGTAGAAAGACTTCAGTTCTGTTCCTTGTCCACTTAGAATATTTTTATATTCATTTCATTTACTAGGGGCAATTTTTCTGCTTTATAGGAAATATGCAGTTGCTTCTTAGTCTAGTTGCAATGGTCTTTGAACTAAAATGTAAAGTTGCTACAGTGTATGCAGCATAGGGACCCACTCTATTTGAACCAACTTCTTCCCCCTATGTAGAGCACTGCATTGTTTGTTCCTAGATATTGTGAAGTTCAAATGCTGCAAGTATGTGTTGTGAAATAGGTTAATGAAATATGCTCAGTCAAGCATTAAGATGTCACTGTTACTTCAGGCATTTAACAAAAGAAAATTAGTGTATTATAAGTTTATTTGAAACTAGTCACCCATTGAATATAAGCAGTTATTATGTCACAACCGTATATTTAGTATAATATAGTTAGATAAAAGACTCCCAGAGATTAAAATTACAGAATATTACACAATATTTGCATGAGACATACAGGTCATAAAAACACATTCTATGGTCAGGATTTCAAGGTGTATCAGTTAAAACACATTTCAGCTGATTGGTTTGACTTATTTTTTATCATAGGTTCATAATGTAGTTGGGGTTAATTGTATTTAGCTAATGGAGCAACTTTTAATATGAAATATTTCCACTCATTTGATCCTACAGTTTTTATATGCCTGCAAATTTTTGCTTGTCATTACATGGTGTGTTGTACGGCAACGATGTTGGCCTGTTAAACTTATGATTTCCCTACATTAACTTCAACTTTCTTTGACAGATTATATTCTGTTTTTTTTAAACGTTTTTGATACTTAAAGAAAAAATATGGGTAATGTTCACTTTTGACAGTTCATGTGCAAAGGTTTCAGGATTGTGCCCCTCAAGTTTTATATGCACATAAATGCTGCTGCACTCACCCACACACACACCGACAATATATATATATATATATATATATATATATATATATATATAAATCCTTGACCAATTACTGGCTTCTTATACATACAAATTTAAACTACAAATTATCAAATTTATATTATTTTTGTAATACTTGGACATTTATTAGTATTTCACATTAACGCTGGCAAGGTTTTGATTTAGTACATTACAGGGCACAGAATCATTTACTCTGGTTTTTTTGTTATACATTTGAGTGAAATAACAAACAAGGTCTATCAAAATAATTTTTCCTTCAAATGACATGTTGCAGAAATGAATTAAAAAGATTGAAGTAGGACTGCAAGCAAGGGCTTGTGCAGTGCTCATTTTATTAAATGTAAATACAGTACCTGTACAGTAGCTGTTCACTGCATAAACAAAGTGACAAAGACTTAGCTTTCTGAATATATTATTCTGGAGTGTCGATTACATGCACACTATTCACACAGCCTTCATAATAATGTTGGCTTGTTCTTGTCGTATGTGGAAGTTCAGTTGTATGTAATACTTTTCAATAGCAGTGAATGTTGAATTCCATAGTTATTCAGTCTTTATAAAGTTATAGGAAATGTCTAGCAGAGGATCATCTTGCCATGCTTGAGGGGCAGTTCACTTATACAATTGAGGTACCCCCCCCAAGAGAAAAATTTGAGATAACAAGCTTCTAACAACTATATTGAGTGTTGTGTATCACCACCACTATCATTCTATTCCTGCATGTTTATTGGCTAATTATAATATCTTTCAGGCATATAACTCAATAAATGTTTGTCTGTTAGGGGTGTGGAGTGGGTGGCTAGCTTCATGCGAGCACTGTGGTTGGGTCATGTGTGCCCAGTTACAAGTGGTGACATGTACCCTACTTACAAATATTTATGGCCCTTGATACAGCTCTTAACTCCTGGTATTTATAATAAATACAAGCATATATTGTTCTCATGTTTGTATGTTTTAAATTATCAAAATTCAGTAGCTCCATCAAGTGCCATAAATATTTATGTACTGTATAAGCAAAGTAAATTCTCCAATCACAGTCCTTGTGGCTGGCTGCCGACTGCGAAGTTGCCACATCTTTTATTTTACGTATATCTACCAAATAACTCCATAAAATAGTGTGACTAAAAATTAAAAACTTATACAGTAGATGATAAAAATAGTACGTGCATGACTAATGTTCATTTGCCAAGCCAACCTTTAGAAAGCAATCTATTACATTAAATTGTACTGTAAAAATTATGTGGTTGTGGACTGAACAGCTGACTTGCCCTCTGTGTGGGTGAGGGCAGTGCATGGAGTGTAAGGTAATCAAACTTACAAACCCAATCAAATCTTGGAATTGCTATACCTACAGTACTTTTAATTCTGAAAATGCACCGATTTTGTAATATTTATTGAGTTAAATAATCATACATTTTTTCACATTGGATCAGCATGTTTTGTTTAATACTAACTGTGTTAGAGGGAATATTATCAAAGAACAAGAGATAGAGATTTATTTAGTCAAATCATACAATACTCAACTCGTAACCTATAAAATCACAATACAATACACAATAGTACACAACAAGATGAAAGCAGGTAACCTAGATCTGCATACGACAATGGATAGTGAGACACTGAGTACAGTAAGCTTGCAATGTTGCTTCCACCCCTCGTCCACCAATTCCCAGATGCACAACGGCTGGAAATTTTAAATGTAATTATCTTTCAAACACAGTTAAGGGGTTTTTCATGCAGTTCAATAGCAATATTGGTTTCAATTAATATAGCACGGTAAAGCCCTGGCTGGGATAAATGATTGTCTACTGTACTATGTACCCTGTGCAGTATAGATACAGCTTAAGTGATCATTAAATGTACATAAATATTATAAATCTAAATTTTATAAAAGAAAAATAAATAAGGCTTTGCATATCTCAATTTCAATGTTTGTTGTAGCACAAGGATGACTTGTTTATGTGGAACAGATGCGCACCACTGCCACTAAATTTCCTCTTAGGAGCCACGATTGCAGTAAAATTCTACCAGCACGAACGATTGGGAATGTTCACAGAATCAGTGTGTAAGAGAGGAAACCAGAGTTATGGTTAACTCATAAATTCGGGTAGATGTACTTTTTTTACACAATGTGAAACAAATAAAAATAAATAATTATCATGAAGTAAAAAAAACAGGGAAGGGAATAAGAATTTCTTCATGCGTTCGAGTTAGCACGCGCAGCGGGGTATCTCGGCTGTTCGCTGTGTCTCGTGGAGTGAAATGATTGCTAAATGGCAGTGCAGCATTTTTTTTTTTTTTTACATATTTTTATTTATACCTCACATTTACTGGCACTGTATACTGTATATTTTATGTACAAAGAATAGCTGCTCAGCCACCCAGCTGATTCACATTGGGGAGAGGGAGGGACTCCGAGTGAACAACGTACTTAGTTACAATTCACTGCCTCCGCACACAAACGTTCACTTCCCACACATACACACCCATGCTTTTCATTTTTATTATTTTATAGTTTTGTTAAATATAATTTTTCAAACGAGCCTGGATAAGTGATAAAGACAGAGATAGCGAGAGATGCTGGGTGGGTTGACTCGCACAAGGGCAAGACCCATCATAAGGGTGGATCAGGGGGGTTAACTGTGTTTAAGTGGGGTCACGTACTCATTCACTAAAAATTAATTACAAGCTTTCTTTTCTGGTGAAAGCCTGCATGTAATCGTGAAGTAAATACTGTACAGGTATTGACACTTGATAGCAAGTTACTGATAGATCCATAACCAAACCTAGACTGTTTATATAAGTTAATGAAGCTGTAAAATGTAATAAATCTTCAGGTTCACATACTCCTGTTAATGAAGCTGTAAAATATAATAAATCTTTCAGGTTCACATACTCCTGTTAATGAAGCTGTAAAATGTAATCGATCTTTCAGGTTCATATACTCCTGATTTCATAAAATGGATTGTTGATCACGTGTGTTCACGTGTTTCTATTCCTCCAAAGCTTTTCATATATATTCACACTAGCAGTGAGCATAGGTTGATGAAAAGTTTCCAGTCATTAGAAGTTGACTTGATCAGGAAAGTGTAATGTTACCTAACTTAATTAATAAGTTAAACAGAGGGATAATTTCAACAGGAAATGCTGCTGTTAACAAGTAGAGTAGTATGCTATTGAGACAAGGAAAATTGAGTGGAGCTGAAAACAGAATTACCCAAGAGGAAAGGGACAAATTTCAAAACATAACTTGGTGTGTGATTAACAATAGTATTTTAAATGCTTATCTGAGTAGTATGTGGCTAGTTTAGAGGGAACTTGCCTACAGTTGGAGTATAGGCTCATAGCATAGTGGTATTCAGTACATTATCACTTATTTGATAGTTGGAGATTCTAGTATTGTACTGTACTTTGTTCTTTATGTCAACAATACAAACAATTTGCTTTTTCCTTATAGACCGGCAGCTGACATCACAAGATGTTTCAATTTCTCTGATTTTTTTTTTTTGCAGATATAATAAGGCAGGCAGTTTACAAAATTAACCCATGTATAAGAGTTAAGAGAAAGGAATTAGATGATCATTTTGAAGTGATTTGTGACCAGAAACACTATTTTTCATTGCTAGTGTCAAACATGGGTGTTAACTGGCATACAGTACAGTACAATAATGAGAACTGCTGATAAATGAATCAACCCTAGGCATCAGCGACACTTTACAGTAGATATTTTGTTTTAATGTTATCCGATAGGAGCAAAGAGCATCATAAGGCAGTGGTTATTATACTTTTACCATAATACATTTAATTAATGTAATGCCTTGTACAGTACCAAAATTTATTTTCATTCGTCATTCCATTTTTGGGTTGTTGACTAGTAGCCCCCTCCCCACATGATATACTGTACTCTGTACTGATAAGTATCAGTAAAACTGTTTACTTTGACAAAAATACATTGTGTAAAGAAAGTGTAAAAGGTAAAAATAGTTTGAAGTACACTACTAATTGAACCTGAGAAAATGTAGTCTGATTTTTTTGATAAAACATTTATTGTATATTAACTTAAATTGTTGTGAGGCTTCTAAATGGTTGTGACATATTAACAGTTATTTGTAAAGTAAAAAAAAAAAAAAAGTGTTCCTTCTTGTCTTTAGCCTTGTGTAATAATGTACAGTTATATTTTGTTGATTATTATTTGTTGGCAGTTTTATAATCAATTTTATTGTGCAGAAAGTTTAAATATTATTAGTTATTTCATATTTTTATCTCATTGTAACAAATCAGAGGATCTACCCAATGTAAATGTACCTTTGTTAGTCACGGGCCCTGTATGAAATAAAATAGTAAGGTTTCTTTTGCAGGGAACTATGATGAATAATTAATTTAATTTAATATTGTATTGCTCCCTCCCTCACCATTTGGTTACTAATACATCTTTCTTTATGCAGCTTGAATATTTCATAATTAAATTTGTGTACAGTATATACATAATTTTCACTTTCCTTCACAATTTGCTCGTGTCAATTATTTATAGTTATTTGTTAGTCATAGTTTTGGTCTTATAGTTGTATGGTTGTGTTGGTTATAGTTATTTGTTCTTGTCAGTTATTTGTTCTTGTCATAGTTATTAGTTCTTGTTATAGTTATTTGTTCTTGTAATATTTATTTGTTCTTGTAGTTATTTGTACCTTGTCATATACTGTATAGTACGTTTGGTTATGGTATGGTAAGGTAATTTAGGTGAGGATAGGTTAAGTTGGGTTTATACTAGGGTAAATTAGGCTAGGTTGGGTTTTTACTAGGGTAAATTAGGTTAGGTTAATAATAATAATAATAATGGTTGCCCCTTATGTACGAGGATGCATGGCCCTAGGGTTACCTAGGCATGATTTTTTTTTTTTTTTTTTTTAAAGGGTGTTGAAAAAGTCACCAAAATAACAACCGCACACTGAGTTAAGGAGCTGCATCACCTAGTGTCCAGGAATAGTCCGAGAAGACCGGACAACAGGTATTTTTAGGGCCGAAAAAAATCACGATCTCTGGAATTTTGTTCAAAATCTCAGTATAGGTACTCCTGAGCATTCCGATTCCAAATCCATGGTCCATGATTCGATTGCAGGTAATTAGTGGTCATAATGATGCTTGAACAGCATGTCTACTCGCCAGACAAAACAAAATTCCCTGGCTCTTCCAGGTATTAATTTGAACAATTCCAGATACAGGCACATTAATTCCATACTGTACATATTACGACAATAAACAAATTTGAGGTTTTCAATAATATATATATATATATATAAAATATATATATATATATAAATATATATATATATATATATATATATATATATATATATATATATATATATATATATATAAATATATATATATAAAATATATATATATAAATATATATATATATATATAAAAATATATATATATATATATATATATATATATATATATATATATATATATATATATATATATATATATATATATATATAAACTATATATATATATATGTTTA